TCAATTAAAAATGTTTGCACACAAAACTGAGTATCACTTGTTTGTAGCTTTTTTACTGGAGGTTCAACAGTCTTATTTGCAGCCAATACTGGATGGTTATTACAAGCAAGCGTTAAAATAAGAAATTGTAAACTTTACAATACTATGATCGTTCTATTTATATACAAAAAGAATAAACATACCTTCAATTTTTGCTAGACAAAGCCCAAAAATCTTTGTAGTGAACTTAGAAATTTTTATTGAAAATGTATTTTTCAATATGTTTTCAGACAGATATTAATAGTTGTTTACGACTATTAAATGACTATTAAACGATTTCAATAAAATTTCTTCTTCATTCATTCACAAATAACTAAAAAAATTGCAAAAAATAACGATAAAACCTACAGACTAACACTCACTACATACGTTTTTTTAAAACTTCCGCTCACTCGAGAAGTGAAAATGGCGGATGAGAGTACTCATCTCTATTGGTCTCTAACGTGAGTACAATTATTACATTCCCGCGACATTAAACAAGGTTTTAAAAACCTGATATTAGCCACACTAACGCGCTCTAGTGGCAAAATATCTTTCCCGTCATTTTCGAGCATTTGTAATACATTGCGATCGCCCTCCTGTTATCTAGGCTCCGTAAATTAACCCTTCAATACTATCGTGTAGAGATCTCACACGACGGAGGTAAAAACACGGGAAAACGAACGATATAGGCAATTTCTTATAAAATCTGTCCCCTAAAAACTATGGAGGGTAGAGGTAAGGAGTAACATCTCTTATGGGAGAAAATGTGAAAAAGTGTCCAGCGTTTTCTATAAATAATAGTTTAAAAACCTTCCAGAATGGCGCTGGTTTACGTAGTAGGTATGGTATGAGTGTAGCAATTGTAAACAAATTGAAGTATGCCGAGTTAAAAAATTTAATATTATTGGCGACTTAAGTAGTTAATTATTGAAAATTTCAACTACTTGCGTAGTACAAAATAATGTAGTAAATATAATCTTAAAGAATTATTATGAGAAAACGTGTAGCTAGAGTGATTTTATTTTGTGAACTGTGAATAGTACGTTTATTGATTTTTTATAATTTAATTTTGTGAAAAAGTATGTGTTTATAATATTATGTCTTTTATTGTTGTTAATTTATATTGTTTATTAGGTGTTCAGTCCGTCTTATGACTGCTTTCGCATATCGAAATATGCTAATTTACAGAAATAAATTATTTTTTATATAGCGAATAACAATGTTTTAATACATAAATTGATTAAATGTTTCTATGATTTATTCTAAAAATTTGTTAGATGCAAAAATTGATTGCTTATAGAGAAAAATTTTTTTATTATCGTTTTGCTCTTGATGAACTTTTGTACTCAAATTTTAAACACAATCATTTATTTATTTCTTAATTTTTATTTATTTATGTATTTTGTATAACATATGATTCTTTCTTATTATTAATATATTTATTTTTTTTTTAATATTTACTAAGTAGACGTTAAAAAATGATACACAAAAAATCATTATATGTTGCTTCCTATTTTATGAGGATTTTGAAAAGCGCGCTATAACTTAGCGGAAGTTTTTCTTTCCTTGTTTATTTCTCAATTTTACTCTAATAATATTTGGCGCTACCTTTAAAATTTACCGTCTACGAACTGTGGCGCCACCCGAATTGAATGCATTTCGACGGACACTTTTCATATACAGAGATGTTACTCCTTACCTCTACCCAGTGCTGTCAGATCGTGGGTAAATCTTACCCTCTCCCTGTGCCACTGGGATTGCACACAATGAAAGTTTTCCATGTCCGTGTGTTTGGGATGTCGAAAGAAGCCGAGTGTAACCGAAGTTGGCGGGCACGCCGGAGTGACACACTATGAAAGCGACTCGTGTCGTCCGAACACATGGACAGGAGTCGCTTTCATAGTGTGCCACTTCGTGGCCAACCGCCAACTTCGGTTACACTCGGCTTTCCTCGACATCCCAAACACACGGACATGGAAAACTTTCATTGTGTGCAATCCCAGTGGCACAGGGAGAGGGTAAGATTTACCCACGATCTGACAGCACTGCCTCTACCCTCCATATTTTCATCGCAACTTCTAAATTAGTATGCAATCTGATCGCGACTGTAATGAAACGAAATTTATCAATGTGTTGATATAAAGTAATATTTTAGATTTTTGTATCTACCAATAAAAAATAATAAATCTAGGACGTAACACAATGTGTGTGTGACATATTCAAGTACAAACATTAACCTAAATTTTTTGTTAAATGTGAAACGTTGTAACGTTTAAGCATATAGAGAATATTAGTTAAAATTTATAATAAGTATAGTTATAAAACTAATAATTAATTTGATGTAATAGTGTAAAAAGTCATTAAACAAAAAGTGATTAGAAATGTGTACATCTTTCAATAAGTTGTTGCAACATTAGGAAGATCAACAAATATGGTTAACACAACACACATTCATGATATTTGAAAGCTTTACAGATTAATTTAAGGTTTGTGTTTTTTCCTTATTTGTTATTTTTGCTTTGTTTTGTGCTCTAATTTTTGACTTATTCAAGATTTGGAAGAGAAATCAATTTCTTTTAATATGGCCACCAAAATATTATTAGATGAAATAAGATCCAATTTGAAAGGAATCTTTCTTTCTGCTATTAAAGCTGTTTCTCCTAAGCAAATAATAAAGGATAAGGTGAAATTAAAAAATGGAGCTTTGTTTATCGAAAATAAAAGCTTCCCAATAGGGGAAAAAGTCTATTTAGTAGGTTTCGGCAAAGCTGTTATGAACATGGCTATAGAATTAGAAAAAATACTCGGCAATCATTTGATCAAGGGTATAGTTAGCGTGCCTGAAATCTCCAAAGATTCAATATGGACGTTAGATGAAACATCTAGTTTTCCTAATCAGAAAACAACTGTGCTTGAATTTAGAGAAGGTGCCATAAATAATCAACCAGATGATAGATCTTTAAATACGACACATGATATTATAGATCTAGTCGAATCATTAACTGAGACAGATACTCTAATCGTATTAGTATCAGGTGGAGGATCTGCATTACTTTATATGCCTAGACCTACTATAGATTCTGATGATAAGATGCGTTTATGTAAAGAATTGCAAAATGCTGGTGCCGATATAACTGAAGTTAATGTATTAAGACGAAAGTTATCTATGGTTAAAGGCGGTGGCCTTGCTAGAATGGCTTACCCAGCTTCAATTATTTCTCTCATTATATCTGACATTATAGACGATCCCATTGATTTAATTGCTAGTGGCCCTACTGTTTATAATCCAAAATTGCCAGAAGAAGTTATCGCTGTCTTAAGAAAATATGATTTATTCAAAACTGTGGAAAGCGATTTAAAATACCTAATAACGTCTACTGAAACTTTTAATGATACACCTTTATTAAATTCGGAAAAGAAATTCAAGCATGTCAATAATATCATTTTAGCTAATAATATGACTGCTGTAGAAGGAGCAAGAGTAGAAGCTTTACGTAAAAAACTTGTGCCAATAATATTACAGAACAATATTAAAGGCCACGTTCATGATGTAAGCTTAGCATATGTGAATGTGGCTAATCTGATATGTCTTGCGTTAAATAAGACATTAAGTATGGAAGATTTTCTTACCGATGTTAATAAATCAGACATTATTTCTTTAACAGCTGAAAAAGTAAAAGAAATTTATTCTATGATTGAAAATGTTAATGGAAGTGGTGTGGTTTTAATAGCTGCTGGTGAACCAACGGTTAAAGTTACTGGTACAGGGAAAGGTGGAAGAAATCAAGAATTGGCATTATATTTTTCTTTAGACTGGTTAGCAAAGGTTAAAAGTAATCCACTACTTACAGCTTACGATGTAATAATATTTAGTGGTGGTACAGATGGCCAAGATGGGCCAACAGATGCAGCAGGTGCATTTGGTTATCCTGCTTTTGCACCAGTAGTATATCAGTTACTTGAGATTTTAAAATCGATAAGAATCCAAGAAATAACAGCACTTCAATCAAAGAAAGAGGATAACACTGGCAATGAAGTAGTGCATCAAGATCCATGCAAAAGATATATGTTGAGCGATTATCTGACATCAAAATCAATTAAATTAACAGATCAAGAATCAAATAAAATAGCAAAGAAGATAGATGACATTGAATCGCTTGATATACATGAATACGAAAAGAAATATAAGACAGAACTAATGATTATGGAAGTAGAACGTATTATGCCTGAAAATGCTTTGGCAGAGAATAATTCATATAATTTTTTTTCTCGATATAAGAAAGGTGAAAATATAGTTAAAACTGGTTTTACTGGTACAAACGTCATGGATTTACATTTTATTTATATTAAAAAACGTGACTGCACATGTGAAATAAATCAAAAAGAAGGAGATGTAACTGTTACAAGTTTAGACGATCATGATTTACAGATCGACCCAGAAACTATCAAACGACATAAATTTCTTCGTATGCATGCTTTCTTTAAAAAAGATGAGTCATTGGATAAATCACTGATTCGTAACATTGAAATAGAAAAACTCAATATTAAAATAATCGATGAAAATTTACATGATCCGTATTGTAATAAGCAACGAAAAACTCCAAGTGATTGAAAGAAAATACTTATATAATAGAAAAACATTCTTAAATATAATTGGGTAGAAATGGATAGCAGAGATAATCTTGGTATGTAATTAAATTTTATAATGTAACTTATGTCGTACAATTTTTATAAATATTAACGTTGCATTATTTTCTGGGTCGTATATGCAATAAGATTAACAGAAATGTTTGATAAAATAAATTATCTATTAATAACATTTTATAGTTCGTATATATAAAAAAAATATGTAGTAAATATCAGGTACATATAAAAGTAAGAACATTTGTTGTTACCTAACTTTATTTTTCAACATAGCTTACAAATTTAAATGCATATTTTTTTGATAATCGCCACTAAAATAAAGAATTTATTAAGTAGTATCACAGATTGATTAAAAAGAAGCAAAATCACAGTGTGACAAATCTATAATAATTATTTATTACTTAATGCCTCGTAAATTGTACACAGAATTTAAGAGTAATGGTCAGTACGCTGATTATTTTCTCTTTTTTTTTTTTTAATTATAAGATGGATAGTTTTTTTTTTGTTTTTGTTTACAATTTTATGAAGAAAGTAATATAATATTATATGTTAACAAAATAAAAAAGATTTTTATGATCATATTTTGCTTTTTATCAAAGCTCTACTTGCGTTTATTAATATAAACAATAATTATATATTAATTGAAGGGTAAATTTGCAGAAACTACCGCGAATCGTATTTAATTATTTTAAGAAACTAATAAGAGAAAATTGATAAATATTCATCATTTACTAACAACATACATATATATATATTGTTATATATGTACTTTGATAGTGAATTTATATGACCAAAAGAAATATATGTTGCGTTCATATGGGTACTTAGAAAGAATTATTTTCATATGGCATAAATAAGATTAAACATCGATTTTACATGTCAGATATAACTTATATCTATATATTCTTATAATACTTAGCGAATTATAGCAAATGTAGTGACATGCTCCAATATGTAAATTAAAGAAAAACTATATTTCGCAAAACTACCCTTTAATTATATCAACAATGTAGTTCTTTGAAGAAAAAAAAAAGAAAAAGAAAGATATGAGAATAATTTAATCAATTAAGTTGTTACCCACAGTACTACAAATTAAAAATTCATTTTTACAAAAGTACGAGCAGAGCCCTTTGAAAAAAAACTGCCACGGGCTGTAACATACAGTCTAAAAAATCATTTGCAAAAATTATAATTACAAATAATGACAATGAATACAAAGTAGTACGTTAAAGATAATAAAGAAAGGGGGCACAGTGATCAAGTAGATTCGTATTCTTAACAAATATAATTCTGGTTATCTTTCAATCAACTTTTATCGTTTTAGTCGAATTCAAAAAAATAAAATAAAAAGAAGAAAATATTGTCCACGCATTAACAGAAATATTTCAATCGTCTTTAATTAACTTTGTTATAAATTTCATATGATATAAATACACGTCCGTCAGTGTGAAAACTGATTCATCTTATGAGATTCTTCTAACTTTAAAAAGTCTAAATGAGACATAACATACTAATGAAAATTACACGCGTATATACTCTATACTTTTTATATATATATGTATATATCTTTTTGCTAAAGTAATTACATTCGCAAAACTCTAACAATGGACAAAATATTTATATTTGAAAACAAAAATAAACAATTAAGGTTTTTCTATTGATTTAAGCAAAATGAAGTTATAAAATTTATATTTATAATACACTTTACAGATTCGTAATACCATTAACTTAAGGTGCATATTACATGACCGGCAGGTATATATAACAATTGACAGGTAGCTTCTGCATATAATAACGACACGATGTAGATGATATATTGTATTGTTTATAACCTTTATCCTATCTTTTAGCAGTCGGACGTATTCTTTCCTTTTCAGTATCCCTATTGTCAGCTACCGTCCATTCAGGATCATTAGGATCCTCTCCTTCTATATCATAACAAGCAGATTCTGTTGAATCAGATTCAGGAGATTCCAATTCCCCATCCTAGAAATAAAATGTAGACAAATCTACCTAAATAGTCTTTAGAATTAAAATTTGGCGAATAGAAAATATAGAGAGGCAGTTAGAATAAAAATTATATTTTTAACAAATAGATATGGCAGCAGCAAAAAACAATTTATATATAAATGAAGATGAACCAAATAATTCTAACGATATTGACAAATATAACGACATATTATTTAAACGCTATTTATTTTATAAATTACTATATTTATTAATACGTATTAAAAGAAATTATATTATGTTAAATATTAGAAAGCATCAATTGGAACTGCTTACCAGAAGTAGCCTTGAGGAGCCATGAAATTTGGCTCAAAGTTATATTAATAATCACAGTACGAATACTCGAATATTAATTTATCAAAAAGAATTTAATTAGTGTCTCATGTTAAATTATTTTTAAACGATATACATACATCGTCTTTTTCTTCGTCTCGAGAGCACAAAGATACCGATGAAGTTTGCCAATGTCCGTCTGGCATTACTTCGACCATTTTGTCATAAATTTCCTCGGACAGTGGAAATACGCGTGGTTCATACGGTAAAATCTACATTGAAACATTCATGTTAGTAAATATAATGAATTATATATTGAATGAATTTTTTAATAGAGTAGAACATTCTACCCTACCTCGTTCTCATCTTCGTTATAAGAAGTTCCAACGTCGTCCTTTCCTATCCTTAAAACGGACATGGCACGACGTCGGTGTGTATCCAAGTTTTGTTGTTGATGTTCTGTCTCCTGTACTTGTAAAGGAGTTGCAGGTGGAGATATGATTGGAGACGTAACATCTCCACCAAAGTCATTGGCGTGGGGAGACATCGGATCTAAAAATAACAGATTCAATATAAAGACAATTTAAATTATTAAATAAATTTACCACTTTTTAAACAGGAAAGCAAACCTGGCGTGTTTGCACCACTATCTGCCCTACTGTCTACTCGACGATTGTGACGAATACGTGTTTGATGTGGTGTATTGAGATACGTCATAAAACGTTTATTCTCTTCTCGTTCACTTCGTTCATGTCTTAAAGCAATTGTTTCATCCGACATATCTTCAAACTATTAATAAGTTACAAATAATAATAAGTTAACAAATTTTAATGTAGTATTTAAATCGAAATAATTCATAGTGTTCAAAAATATACTTACATCGCTATCTTGACTAGGCCTATACATAATACCATTTTTTACGTCAGTTTTTGGTCGATCCTCGCACAATCGCCATCTTTAAAATAATATTAAAATTAATAATTCCAATATATAAACATTTTTAATCAATTTCTACTTACTTTGGAGTTAAAATTTCTTTGTATTGTAATTTTTCAAGCCTCGTTGAAGCTGCTACACTGTACGGGATGACAATATTGTCTATATCGTAAGAGTTTTGTCTCAAACGCCTACAAAGATTTTATTTAATGTTAATTGCATTATTTGCACACTAGAGATACAACATGAAAGAAAAAACAAATACATCAGATATTTTTTATATTTTATTTTACCCGTGATGCGAAGTTGAATTTCTTTCTTTTACTGAATTTTTTTCCAGTGTAGAATTGGTGGTATGTTGTTGTAATGGAGAAGGCACTGGAGATGAATGTTTACTGGAACCAGAAAGCGCATTAACTTCCTCGAAATCCTCGGTTGGCAATTTTGGTACTCTTTTCCTGTTTAAACCATTTGCGTTTCTTTCGTGGCCTAGTCTATTCCTCTTTCCTTTCAACATCTTTTTCTTAATTCCTATATATATACATAATATACAAGCTATAAATCAAATAGTTATACAATCAGTTTTAAAATTTAAAAAGTATCTTGAAACATACGTGCTGTGATGATACTAGAAGAAGACTGCTTTAAACGTGCAGTATACTTTGCTCGATGTCCAGGAAGTTTTTTGTTTCTCCTTTCATTACTATCTTTATCTTTTATTCGAGTAATACGCGTACTTCCCCTTAGTATTTTTTGTTGCCATTCGGCTGATTTCATAATAGCTTCTAAATGAGTTCCTTGAACAATATCTACAAAAAAAAAAAGAAGTTCTGGATGAAATTAAAATTTATAATTTAGAAAAAATAATTATTGAAAAAGAAATTATAAAATGATTACTATCCATTCCTTACACAGAACAACTAAATAAGTAATGAATAGTAATATGAACGAATAACACTAAAAACATAATAAAAATTGGTTTTCTAAGTGGACAAATTTTATAAAACAATCAAGTTATTCATAATTACCTATCTAAATCAGTAAATTATTGAAATGTTATTTTATTCACCTACCATCTGGGAAGGATAGAACTGGATGATAACAAGGGTCAACGAGTGCTAGCCTCTCTTGAACAGAAAGTTGTTCGATTGATTCTTGTGTTTGAGTTGGATCTAGCCTTCCTGTGCACAAAGCACACGCAGGCAGTGTATGATCACAGTTACATCTTACTGTGGATGCTTTAGCCGCACGTTTAGAGAATTCGTGTAGCCTTTCAACTTGTAATAGTTTTCGTTTTCTATAAAAATTCCATAGAAATGGACGAGTTCTGCTAGCTGATAATTCATTTTCAGATAAATTATATCGACCAGTAGAACCAGGTAAAACACCGCTATATCCATTTACTGTTTCAGCATTGTCAAGTATAACCAAGCCTTTTAATGCCCTAACTTGACGTTGGATGTCATTTTGCTGTCTAATTTTATATTCTAAATCTGATATTTGTGCTTGCAACCAGATCCACCTTGATGCTATACCTGCACGGTCTTGAGAATATCTCCATGCTGCTCTTTTAGATCTACAAATAACATATTTCATAATTTTATTTGCAGGATAAACGTATAGAATAATCTTGATATAACTTTTAATTTCAGCAAAAATATATGTATGTATGTTAATTCATTTATTTAATATTCTTAACACGTGTGCCTTGTGATCTTATAAAGTCTTTCATTATAATATAATAATTAAGACTAAAATCTTATACAAGATTTGCAGTATCTTTAACTTATTTTTGTATAAGTGAAGAAAATAAAATTACTTACATTGGTAGTTGCTGCTGATGCGGATTATTAAATGATTGCATTTCATCGCAACTTTCTCCGCCACTACTAGACGCTGTACAATCCGAATCCAAATTAGATTCTACAATATGTAACTGCGTTGCCAAAGGTCCTGCCACATTTTCAACTTCTTCACTGTTGATTTTAACTTGAGGCATACCAAAAACTGGCATCCTGTTACCATTACTACCAGATGTACTACCCAAATTATCACGTGATCCACCACCAAAATAACGATAACAAAAACGTTGACGATGCGCATTATTACTTTGAGTAACACACATCTTTTCAACCTTTTGTAAAAATAAATTCAAACTACCACTAATTTCAGGAAAATTTCTGACATTGGATTTGGAACTGATATTGACCAATTCTTGAAATAAACACTTTTTAACACCATGATGAGCAAGTTCAAGCACACCTGTATTCTCTTCAGCAACATGTCTGCCAAGAAGCCGTGCTTGAAGCTTTCTCAGTCTTCTAAGTAAAAATGCGCACTTTCTCTCATTTTCAAATTGTTTTTGCGCAACAGTTTCTTGTTGTAAACGTAAACTATTGGTTTTTTGCTGGTCTACTGTCTCTGGAATATTAATATTTTCATTACAAAGGCTCATTACATCAGCATCGGTAAGTAAGTCTCTTGCAAAGGACGAAAATCCTTCTTCAGGGATTGGAAACATTTCTACGCTGTCCACATTGTCCATGGAACCTTGTACAGGTTCAGAACTACCAGCAGTATTTTCAGCATTTCCAGTGCATTCTATAGATTTAATAACTTGAAGAATTTCTTCAACATTTTGTCCAATATCACCGACAGCATTTATATTGCATTGCTCGTTATCCGTATTAATCTCTGTACCAAAAGCCATTATTTGATCAACGTCCAAATTTTTATTATCTCCTTCAACAGTAGCAGATTCCACCAAAGATAAATCATCGTTCGTTTTCAAGAAGCCCATGTTGTCCGCCTGATCACCCATAGATGGGTCGTTCATTATAGTATCAGTCTCCTTTCTTTTGGGACTGTCCGGCGTTACTGGCCGTTTACAGCCCTGCTCCGTAAAAATCTCTCTTAAGATCAAATCAGAGCTGTGTGAGTAAGTAGATAAATTGTCAAGACTATTGGCGTAATTTGAATTAATAACATAACGAATAAGATCTTTAGATACACCATGCAGGTACTGCTCGTCGATTTTTGATGGCTGAACGTTCGCAGATACAACGAACTTTGCCAAAATTTCTCGATCGCGACAGACCTGCGTAGCCTGCTCAGGGGATAAAAACCCCACAGCTGGTAGAGATGGGAGCAAATTTTCAGGCTTTTGAGGACCGTCTTCTGTCAGAGCAGGGGCCATTACTGCCACCAACACTGCCAACACTGCAGCCTCGACATTCAGAGGCTCCCACGTGCGCCAATACTTGCTCTTTTTACCTACTTCACCTACTCCCATTCATTCATCATTATAGTTTTAATCTTTGGCTCTATCTTTTGTTACAAATGTCCCTATTTCCTCCTCTGTTTTTTCTTTCTCTTTAAAACATTAACTTTTTTCGATTAATAATTCTTTAATATTTCAATGTCTCCAGTCATATACCATACATCCTTGTATTTCTTGTTATTCCAGTTATTTAATTGTGTCATCTTTGTGTTAACTATTCATAGAAAGTATATTACAAGTCCTGCAAAAAAAAAAATACATATTTAATACTTTATATTAGCTTTTTATTGAATTTAAGGATTATAACATACAAATTTAATTGCACTATATACTTTTTTTTGAGTCATTTATAAGCTATATTCATAATTTATTGGACGAATGCATATATCAATAAAGAACTCTACAAGACTAATTTTTGATCGATATCAAACTATTAATATTTATACAAATATCTAAACTATTTTTCTTTTAATTTCTAAAATCAAAAGATCGTACCAAATATAAAATATACTCTTGGTAAGATAAGAGAAGACTGTGTGATGAAGACTCGATATAGCAGTGTTAATCATCGAAAGTAAAAGTTCTGTTCAAAGTAAACGCATTTGTTTCTATAAAGTAAAAAATAAACTCGCCTTGTATTATTCCATTTTCCACGATCGACCTCGTATTTTTTTTCAGGCTGCGAGAAAATGACACGACAATTCCAATGTGAGAAAGTAAAGAGAACAGAAGAGGACAAAATATGGTCTTGTAAAAAAGTAGCCTTTCAAAGTAGGAAACGAACAAGTCTACTTGTAGGGCTCTCCTCTCGTGTTCGAATCTTCCTCCCAAAATCGAAAATAAAAAGACGGTGGGAGAGTATTGCGCAGTGGAGCGTTTCTCGTCTTCCTTCAAACGTTCTTCGTTTGCAAAATTCTAAAGCAAAAAAGCGTATGCCGTGCGATAAGACGATAGTCAATTGCCAGCCAAATCGAATTGAAAAGAATAATATTACGAGATGGGAAAGAAAAGGATGCGCGCGAAGAGCAGTTTAAAGAGCTAGGTAGAGAAAAGTTTCATTAATATCCTTAAAGTACGATAATATCTTCGAATTGTTGTGAAAGAAAAATAACAATGCTAGACGAAGATATTAAAAAAAGTCTAATGAGGATATTTTCTCTTGGCCGTCAGAATTAGTGATTGTTCATAAATCGTGATCGTAGCCGGCGTCGGCGTCGTCGTTGTCGGCGGCGTCGTCGTCGTCGTCGCCGCCGCTACAACCACCACCACCACCACCACCACCTCCACTAATGCTGCTGCTGGCAGCAGCACTGTCACTATCGCTGCTACAACCGCAATTATAATCGTAGTCACCACTACCACCACTAAAAACAACAACACCACCACCCACCACCGTTGCTGTCGTCGTCACAATCACCGCCGGTACTGTTTCTCCTATTTCACGGTGATACATTACAACAACATCATCATCAACATTGAAAGAACGAGTCGGCGTCACGTCGTGCGGTCCGACGCATTTCCACGTGATCTTTCTGTTTGAACAATGAAGCCGAATAAACGTTCTCGTCACGGTTTAAGAGGAATACACAAAGAGACATGCTGCGCGTCCACCATCAACCGCTACACTTTTTTCTCTATCATTCCCAACAAAAGAAACGATAAAAAGTAAAAAAAAAAGAAAAAGAAGAAATCCTTTCCGTATACACTCGCGCCACCGTCTTCTTTCTATTGCATAATGACGCGCAAGATTCGCGTCTTTCTCCCTCCCTTTCTTATTCTTTTTCTCTCTCTTTTACTTTCCGTCACATAGAGAGCACAAAGAAAAAAATAATACGAGTAATGCACTAGCAACGACTACGGTCTACATTATTTTCATCAGCGTAGTCATTAACGTAAACGTCATGGTCGTCATCGTCGTTGGTGTTGTCGTTGTCGCATAAACGGACAACGTCCACGTACGCGCGAAGCACGCGCGGATTAGGAGACGACGAGGCAAGGCAAGACAAGACAAGGCGAGGCGAAGCACAGCGAGGTGGAGGAACGAGCGGGGTCGGGAACGGACTATCGAACGTGCTCTCGCTCCTTCCTTCTTTCCTTCCTTCCACGGTAAATTCGTTTGTAGATTCTTTCGTCGATTCGTTCGTAGATTCGTCTATAATGACCGTGGATACGAAAGTAAAACGTTACGCGCGTATACGGAACAGTATCTAAACTCGGACGAACGAAGAAGGAAGGAAGAAAGGGCGAAAGTGGGAGAGCTGACAGAAAAAAGAGAGAGAGAGAGAGAACGAAAGCACGCGAGGGATAAAGAAAATTGGCGGTATTTCTTTAGCGATAATTTCGCTCTCTACCGTGCAATGGCGGAGCAACACGCAGCCTCGAGGAAGATCCCCTTCAGATTCTTCCCAACTAACAAAGTACGTATGAACGCTCTTTCGTCTCTCGTTCCCCGCGCTCGCGGTCACCTAAAGAAAGAGAGAGAGGAGAAGAGAGAGAGAGAGAGAGATGGACAGACAGAAAGAGAGGGAAAAAGAGAGACCAATGGATAAGAGGACGGGGTGGGGGAAAGAGGCAGAACGAAAGAGACGGAGCGCGCGCGGGAGGCAGGGAAGGAAGAGGAAAAGATGCACGAAGCACGGCCGCGTTATTCGAGACGAAGCGGATAACCGTCACGCATAGGGCACTGTGCGAACACGACACTGCTCTTCGCGCACTTCAATAAAAAGATAGAACTGGGTCGAAATATATTTAATGTAAACCTCGATGTCACACCCAAACAGCACATAATCCCTCACCCGTTTTCGTTAGTGGCGACGCGCGTGTGTGCTCGTAATCGTGGCTCCTCGTATCACTAGTTCCTCTTTCATTCCGAGTCTCCGTACTTTGGGAAAATGCAGCAATTTTTTTTCCTTTCTTTACAAATGAATCGTCGACGATTATAACAAAACGTCGGACGTAATATAACAAGAGATATTTGTCGGCAATGTGTACAAAATTCACTCGAGTTTGTCGTGGTCGTTGTCGAAGCAGGCTTCGACCAATACTGCGGTGCTTCTACCGGATGTGGCCTTTGGTATAACGGACCAATGAAATTGAAGATTTGTTCGCGCAACGCCCGAACTGGGGCGGCTACTGCCTATGTTTTTATCTTATTACAGCTCGGCAACTCGAGCCAAGCCTTTCGTCAAAACTATTTAACGACCGATCACGATGCGCTCCGTCTTTTTATTTTTAATCCAACGCCAAGGAAGCAATGATCTTCCAAATGAAAAGAGAAATGCGTTCTTTGATTTTTTATTGCGTTTCATTTTTCTCTTTTGGTATTACAACCAATAAAAAAGTTTTTCTAACTTATAGTCCAATGTAGTATCAGACGAACCAATGGCACTCCTAATAGCTTGCTCTACGAACGTTTCTATTGGTGGATCAAATCTAATAGTATAGCTCAACGTTAAACGTTAGCTATGATTGGACATACATTTCTTACGTGGATTAAAACATACCAATTATTACAAATACTGAAAAACAATTTTATTAATCATCACCAAGCATTTATATACATATGTTATAAAAGTAACATTAACATTTTGTACAGATTTTATTATATATGAAAGTAATTGTTCATATTTCCTTTAAACATTTCAATTTTACTTTCGATTATAATCGACAGATATTGCTACTGATTGGTTTTAAAACTAAAATCAACGTTGCAATTGGTTGAAACAAGTAATACGTGACACAATAAATATCTTTAGATTTTACAAAGATATTCGTTCTTATCATAAACAGAGTATTAATGAAATAAAAGTACAATACTTTTTTGAATAAAATTAGTGAAAAATTTGTGAATAAACACTTAAAATTATAAATTTTTCCAAAGGAAAATAAACTTGATCACACATATAATGTATACAAAGTTAATTTATTGATAATCAAAGGTAAGATTTTGCCCGTAAATATTCTAAGTGACCTTGTCCCTACTAAAAATAACAAGAAAAAAAATATCATTATTAATTTTTATACAAACATAAATATTAAAAAATATTCATCTACGCGTTAACTCAGTAAGAGACTATGATTGTAACATAATTTGCATGTAAGCATAACAATTTTTTATTTTATATATAGATGACTGTACATGATTTGTAGTTTTGCATCTAAGGATATATTTATATAAGTAAAGGTGCAGATCCTATTTTTTATACAGAAAATGTGAATTATAAATTACATATATATTAATTGTCAAATATATTTGTTACCAATCAATTATAAACTATCGATTAATGTTACCTTCCAACTGTCCAATTTTTGTTTAGTTTTGAACATAACAAAAATATGATGAACACAATAAAGTTCATTAAATTAGTAATATTTAATGGCACCAATATTATTTCTTCTATCTTGGTTTATGTTACTTATAATTGAATATTTTTATTATCATTACAACAATAGGACAAATTAAATGTCCGATGATTATGTATTATTACTATAAATTTTAACATTATGCCACGGAATGGACATTATTTCTCATTATTAAATTTAGTAAAGTCTACTATATTCAATTGTATGCACGTGCATATACATATATATATATGTGCAGTGATCAAATTATAATAGGTAAACTTATAGGTTTTATTATTGCTATTTATGCGTACATATACATATATATATATATATAAAACCTATTATCTTCGTCACTCAATAAATATATATTATATTTTTACATAAATATACCAATTTAATGAGAATAATATTGAAATCAAGAACAATATACATGGGTGGGTTGAAAAATTTTGAACCTCAACAAAAAAGGCTTTTATTTTCTTGTAAATAAAAGTTAGTTTGATAAAAGAAAACATTGTTTCTATGTGAGGCTGAGAACTTGTCAGCTCACCTACGTATTTGATTCAAAATCATATACTATATATATTATATTATAATCAGACAAGTAGACTACAGAACACTATTGAATAATTCAAGAAACGAGTATTATCGTAATTATTGTCGTTATTATATTACTATTATTTATTTTCTAACACTAAATCCAAAACATAAAATAGTCGTATAACAACGATCATAAAATAAATTGATCGTGATGTTTTTAATGTTATTACAATTTTCGATATAAATACATATCAATGCTACATAAAAGAGAGAACACATTTAAAATAACTAGTTCCAATAAGATAGGCAGTATTTTACTGATCGTACATAATAATAATAATCGTGATTTTTTATGTAAATCGTTGTGACGTGTGTATGATATATATATATATATATATATTTCTTCTCATTATAATTTTTGTTATTCATTGTTAATTAAAAAATAATATACAGATAGCCAATGAGTAATCACGTTTCTTTAATAGATTTATTTCAACAGCAAAATGAGTCACAATTGGAAGTTCGTTGGAATTGACGTTATAATTGAATAAACGACTATATTAAAATCGTAAAATAATTGCCAATAAATGCTACTAATGCATTATTGTATTCGAATTGTGAACACACTTACACATTTCATATCGATATTGTGTGGTCTGCTCCATTTTGACTTTGTCTATGTTGCGGTAATGCCGATAATTCATTTTTACTTAAATGATTAACGATTCCTGCACCAAGGGAATCTCCCATAACGTTTACTGTCGTCCTGCAGCGATCCCTGAAAATGACAACAAGGTTTTTGTACATTGTTCAAGAATATTTCTTAAGATTATTTGAAATTAAAAAATAATAAGAAAAATGCACTTACAATAGCCAATCAACCGCGAGAATAAGGAAGACATCGTTTGATGGAAGATGTACTGTGTCTAGAACCATCACCATAGTAACTAATCCCGCCTGCGGGATTCCAGCTGCTCCGATACTTGCGGCAGTTGCAGTAATACTAAAAAAGTCGATAGAGTCAAAGGAAATGTTTCTATTTTCTCCTCTCTTTTAATGATTGTAATTATTATATCATATGGTGTTTATATTTGTGATAGGTTACGTAAATAATTTATTTTTTTTGTAAAGTGTCAGCATATAAGAAAAAAAAAAATTAATTAAAATTTTACCTGATTGCCACTAGTTGTCCAAAAGTAAGACTGACTTCACGAACTTGCGCTATAAAAATTGCGGCTACTGCTTCGTACAAAGCAGTACCGTCCATGTTAATTGTAGCTCCAATCGGTAATACGAATCTGGTTATTCGTGGGTCAATGCCGTTTCTTTCTTCGAGACAATTAATAGCAACTGGTAATGTCGCGGAACTCGACGATGTACCAAATGCAGTGACCAATGCCTGTGCCAAATTGGATAGATAACGATAGGGATTCTTTTTTGTTATCACAAAATACAATCCAGGTAATATGATGAAACCATGAATACAGAGACCGATTAGAACCGTTAGGAAATACATGCCAAGTTGAGCGACCACTTGCTCCAACGATTCCATTTCTACAATTTTTGCAGCTACCAAAAAGAGGATACCGACGGGTGACAACCTAGAACGGATCATCAATGATAATTATTTGATTGTATTAAGGTTTTTATTATTTATATACAAGATCCTTACCAAATTACCCAATTGGTGATTACCATCATAGCACCTGACAAGGATTCGAAAAAATTAAGAAGCGGTTTCCCTTCCTGACTCATTTTCCCTAGAGTGATACCCAATACGGTTGAGAAAACGACTAGACCAAGAATGTTCATACCAGGAATGTCCTTTTCGGTGAAGTCCCAGTTATCCATATCGTCTATACAAAACGAGAAAAGAGATAACAAATTTGAATTATAATAAATATTAGTTTATAAGGAATAAGTATAGAGTTATATTTTACCTGAGTCACCGTCCACAGGTTTTTTAACTACTGTACGCATCTGAGAAATACATGCTTGCACCAGATTCGGAGGGAACATGTTTCTAACTAAATCCAATAGCGTATCAACGGTCGATGAATTTTGAGCAAGAGCTTTTTCAGCATGACTAGCAGTGCTGCCTACGCCAGGTTGAATAGATACGACCAGAATAATACCTAAAAAGAATACATTATGATTAGTAGGAATACATTAACACGTTAAGCGCCAATTCTCTTTTGTTGAGTTTTCCGTATAGGCCACGATAATCTGCCAGGCGTAAAAAGAAAAGAATGTCGATCATTGGTGACAGACGCAGCATACACGGAAAATCTTAGGCGCGGCGTTTAAATATGTTAGTGGAACAAGTGAAAATTCATAGAGAAAAAAATACCACCAACCGAGTACAACAGCGCTAATCGTTGTGACCATGTAATAGGAAATAGCACGTGCACCGATTTTACCGCTGAGAGATAGGTCCAAGGATCCGATAGCTGAGATCAAACTTGACATGATGAGCGGCAGGATTAAACTCTTGAGCATTCTTAGAAATAGATCGCCGACATAATTGATATACATGACCTCACGGTTTGTATATCTATCGATCCGGGAATTTCTTAGGATTATTCCTAAGATAACACCACCGACCACGCCACCAACGGTTAACATTGTCAAGGCATTGTGCTTTAAACATGATTGTATTTTTTCTTTCCTTGTTTGCGGCCTTTTACCTGGCTCTTGCGGATAATAAGAGGTCCTTTCTACCCTACCTTGTTTTTCCGGGCCAGATAAAGGAGATCTATAAAATACGATTTACAAGTTAAAGTAGAGAGCATCCCTTAATTAAAATAAAAGAATAATAAAGAAATTCTTTTATAGAGTATAAAATAATTGTCATGAAATGGTTTGCCTGACAAATTAATTAATCTATTGTCAATGAAAAATATCCTAAGTTCGCAGTCCTAAGTTTAAATCATAAACCGTTTATTTGAAGGTCCAAATTTTACTTTCGATCTTATAATATTTAAGCGTCAATACTTGACAATAGTGATTCGCTATGTTCGATTATAAACGATATGTTGATTAAATCATGCTCTGATCTATTTGAATAGCAAATAGTAAAACAGAAAGAGAGAGAGAGAGAGAGAGAGTGACAGAGATAAAGAGTTCATTGATTGATCAAATCAAACCTGACGATGCATAATGGCCACGCGTTTGACATGAGCGTAACAAACGGCACGCGTCAACTTCAAATATATATATGCACATTGAATTTAATATATACAATTACCGAATTCTTTAAATTCTCTTCGAATGTCAACGAATTGAAAACAATGAAGAAATTTTTAACGCTTACAAAGGGAAAGCCAAGTTAATAGGACACCGATTTTTTTTTTAAATTCTAGGGGTCCATCCGAATCATATACAAGCAGTAATTAAAACATTATTTAGCCGTTTCCAAGAAAATAAAAGGAGAAGTTTCATATACATTTTTATATACCTGTTCGTTTGCAGGTGAAAAAATACATTTTGTACAGTTTAATAACACAAATTAACACGTTACCTTCATTTATCTGATTTTCTTGTATATGAAGAAATAGTCATAGGCGTATCTTGAATAAACAAATTCCATAAAAAGAGCATGCTTCTCATTAAGTCTCACTGTCATCGTTAAAATATGTGCTAGGATCGTATAAACCGAATGATTTGCGTTTTTTCGAGGTCGTACGTAAAATACGATATGTTACTTATGAAACAAGAAAGGAATCATTTGCTCATTATTTTTAAGTTTGTTCATTGTTTTATCTCTCTTTTAAACCTTGTCTCTCTCCCTATGAAATTTCTTATCTTCGTGTTACAAATTTCTTCGATATAGCGTGATAATATGAATATATACACACATACAAAATACACTAGAATCTTTCAATGTTTATAACCCATTGCAATAACGTCAAATATGCGATTACGATTGAATATTTATTTTTACAATTCTAACAATAAGCTTCATGAAATAATCGGTTTAACTTTTGTAGAGTATAACACATCATAAAGATATCTATACGTGTAAATTCGTGTAGTTCATTTCTCATTGTTAATGATTATCTGATTATTATATAGAAGACAATAATATTTAAATGAAAATATTCTTGTTTCCGCAAAGAACCAATATAGAAACCAATGTAGGACAAACGTCGTTCGGGCCATGGGTGACATTTATTGCGCGTAGGTGGCATGCGTACGAATAAACGAGCACACGGATGTCAAGTCTAATAGCACATCTCTTATTCTTCTAATGCCACGTGGATAAAAAAAGAAAAACAAAATTATATAATTAATTTTGATCGAACGAAACGAAAGGACGAATAGTTAAAATATATTATTATGTTCCATCGATCGCGTTGTGTAAAATAAAAATAAAATATAATATTTTTCAAGGAGATATCGTAATTTGTATCGATCGGAATGTCTATGAATCTGCCTTGATATGAGCTTGGACCATGCGTGCAACCACAAAACAGGACGTGACGACACGCTCGCGAACGATTGATCGCTTACACGTGTATGCGTGCGTGTTAAATTATTGTCTCGTGACACGTATTAATGACAGAGGGATCGTGTAGTATCTATACTACGTGCAACAAGCTCTCATCTACTATCGGTGAATACCCGTGAAAGCTGAGAAAGGATCAATGAAACCCCTCTGTGTTGAACGCAAATACGTTCAGTTAAGATGAACAAATGAGAGTACAAGAGACCCCGAATTAGAGACTTTTCTCTTCGTTAACAAAAAAATAAAGAAAGCAGCTCTACATTACGAAAGTACAAAATGGATTAGAACTAGGAAACTAGATCACTTAGGACACGTGTTTGTTTGATTTTATTTTATTTTTTCAGCGTTTCTCGGTCATCGACGAAACAAGTCCCACATGCTTCGAATGCTTCTTTTTACATTTCTACTATACGAATTTTAAGTCCCCCATTTTATAAATGTATGCATGTACGTAAAGAATGAGAAAGAAGAAGGGAGGGAAAAAGAAAGACCGTCTATTGAACTCCATGAATCTATTTACATTTGTAGCTAAGGAAAAGAAGATTAGAGGAGCTAGGAAAGCAGCCAAACCGGATGAATTGCCAGCCAATTGAAGTACGCCAAGGCGAACAAGATCTGCCAAATCTTGGCGTAGAACTTCATTCTTAATTTTTGTTTTTTTACTTTGACACGTTAATAATTATCATATTTCAAAGATGAAGTATCCATCGAATGGTTTAGAAAAAGATAATCAATATATAATAGACGGAAGAAAAAGAAAAAAAACAGCTTCAATTTCTCGTAGCTGATGTCGTTGATGTCTACAAATTTGTATTCCAACTCGAAGATGTTTATCGCGTTCTAACAACGCTTAGTATATGAGCATGCGAGAGATACTTTGTTATTGATGCGTGGACGCTTATGCTCGTTCAAGGTCGCATTTATATATTCTTCTCGGAGGTGGTCATTTTGAATAGGGATTTATCGTAATTCTTCGTACTCTCCTTGCTACCTTTTTTCTTTGTTCCAATAGATGATTTTATTCTTAAAACGTACGCGTTTAAACAGACGTTTAAAAGGATCAAGTTTCGTAGTTGTTCAAGGGTTCTTGTATGCGGTTACATGGATCATAAATTTGTTCAAAACTCGACAATAATTTATATGATACATAATTGAAGTTTATTTTTTATTTCAACTCGTTATTCAAATAAATTTGATTACATCAGTGGTTAAGAAAAAAAATATTATCTCCCATCATATAATTTAACAAAAAAAAAGCGAAAATTCTGACATACGAAGAAACATTGTATGTTGTTGTTATATGCGCTATTTAATATTTAGAAATATGTGATGTCAAAATGAAATTCAAACAAACATCTCCGTCTTTATTTGCAGATTGTAACACATTTCAAGCCAATGAGGATCAAGTTCGGTTATATATACTACATTTTACATAGTGGAACATACATAACGAGGTATAGTTACAAGTTTATTACAGAGATCGTGAACAATTAAACCGCACGCACGCGTATCATCGTTGGCGCTCAGTTTGCAAGAATATGCGCATTGCAATTTTCATTTCTATTGCCTCTATACAAGTATTAATAATAATATTTTACATTTACGTGCCAAAAAATGTATAAAAACAAAATGAAACGAGATGTTCGAACGAATAAAGATAATAAAATAATCATAAGATTCGATGAAGACAAATATTTATATTGACTCTTAAGGAACCGTGTAATTATGATAAAAATGTGAAATTGAAAATTACGCAGCCTTTTCTTTAATAAGTTACGATTACTTTATCTAATTATTCACACTTGATCGAGCATAAAAAATCGCTAATAACAGATAGAAACGTTGTGTTTTTTAACTGCAAACACAATCAACGATCGTTTCACGTATTTCTATTTTATTTAATCAAATTGAAAATATACGTTATATATATATATATATTACGAGTGCTTGGAACGATATTTCGAAATTTGGCTGTTGATCGAGTATTGATATCCAGTTACGTTATCGACCAACAACACTTTGTCGTTTGAATAACTTCTAACGATAAACTTTTCCTTTTGTAACGTCCGCCATTAAAGTTACGTAAGCTGTGACTTTGTATGATGTAGTTAATAGATCAAAGAATTTAACGAAGAGATAAATATCTTTTCCAATCTATTAAAATTCTCACTTAAAATCAAATCGAAATTTCTTTATTAGAGTCGAGTCTCAAAGGGATTCAATGTTTTATGTAACAATTTCTCTCTTGAGAAACAGCGTGTTACGTCGATGTTACGCGTAAGAAGTACGTGCATGTAATTTACCTTCCGTCCTTTCTAGAATTTCATAAATCATTTTCTATTAATCGTAAAAAAACAAACTCTTTTAATGCGCACAGATAGTTGATCTAATCGTAAAACACATTTATACGTACACGGTTATACGCTTGAGAACGAGTTTTATAATTCAAATATCAGAGAAGATAAAAAAGAGAAAAAAGAAGTAGGAGGAGCAACGCAACTTCTTCGTTCCATGCGGCACTACACGTGCGTTGCAGTTGTGCAATATTTCTATTTTCTAATAAAGAGAGAAAGAGAGATAGAGCTGAATAAATCGTTGATAACTCCATGAAAAACGAAAAAGTCAATTAATAGAAAGAGAGAGGTTTATGCTTTTCTAATGAAAAAAGATCAGCACGTGCACGATAAAGACGTATAAAAAAAAATTAATAAAAAATATTGTTGATCTCGTTTAAGAATAATAAGAACATTTATGTATATTCCAAGTATATGATGTGAATGATCAAAAAAAGAAATAAGTAAACGAAGAGAAAAGATTTAGGGTGTTATACGTACAGTTCGGTAGCGGTCTCCATGACGAAATCGTAGTTGGATGAATGGATTGAGTCGCAAGAGAGGTGAGGCGATCCCCGTCAGTCGTTCACATGGAGCGTCGCTTCCGCAAAGCCGGAAGTCTCCGATGCGTGTTGTTACTCGACGAGAACAACGAGATCGAGTGGGTACGAAGAGGAGGAAGAGGAAAAGGGTGTTTTCCTTGTTGGAAATTTCTCCTTTTCTCTTACGTGTCCTGTAATTGTTGCTTCCGAATGTTCAGGGAGAGTCTTCAACTTTATGTCAGGTGGGAAAAAAAGAAAGAAAAGAGATGGAGATGGAGATAGAAATAGAGATAGAGAAAGGAAAGAAATGAAAAAAGGTGGTATCAAAGAGAGGAACAACGGCGGTTCGCGAAATGCTTCGAATGGTCGAGAGGATGTTACGCTGATGGGGCCTCTCAATCTGTGCCACCTTGGGTGGTACGATCAGCTATGGCGATCTCCCCCTATAACGACGATCTCTTCCTGCCGCTACGACCTATCCTCTCTTCCAACAGCAGTAGCAGCAGCAGCAACAGCAACACCACCACCACCAGAACCACCACCACCAACACCACCACCAACACCACCAGAACCACCACCACCACCACCACCTCTTTCCTCCTCTTTCCTCCTCTTGGTCGTGGTCGTGGTCGTAGTAGTGATGCGATATAGACACCAGACAAATACGCGCAAGCGATCACGAGCAACCCATCGAGAAATGTCGCATCGGTGGTGAACGATGGATTCTATTGTTTGACTGCTCTCGATCTGTTCACGATCCGCTGGATTCTAACGGGGTTAAACACCACATAACCGTCGATGAACGCGCGGGAGTACTCGAGATTCTCCTCTCTTCCGATTTCTCTCCTTCTCTCTCTCTCTCTCTCTCTCTCTCCCCCAACTTCTTCTTCCGCTTTGAACTTCCCACCTAGGGAGCCGGATCAACGCGTCGATCAACGAGCCGATGATCGACCACTAGGCAAACGGTAACAGCAAGCGTTCGTTCACAAAGACTACCTCGAATGATCTCTTTGCAAAATGACTATCTTCCTCCTTCCTTTTGTGATCTGAAAGAGCAAAATAATTATATCGTGTTATTAGAATAGGAAATTACATTATTTGTACGTTATCCAAGTTAGATTGAGGATTCTGACAATTGATCAATGTATTCCTATCATCGTCAATTTGATTCTTTGAATAGAATACATGATTTGACTAATTTTAACAAGGCTTAATTATAATTTTTCTTTCCTTATAATAGGAATTTACAATCAGTTATAGAGTCGTACTCTAATCTTCCACAATGATACGCAAGAAAATAGACTATTTGAGAAGAATGAAACGCAGCGGCTCATCGAAGATGATCATCGGAACTACGAAACAGAGCCGGTCACGGAAAGCGGGTCAAGGCCTGTCCATCTTACTTATTACTACACCTACTTTTCATCGAGTTATATATTTACGAGAGAAAAAGAGAAAGAGAGAAAGAGAGAAAGAGAGAAAAAGTGTGTGTGTGTGTGTGTGTGTGTGTGTGTGAGAGAAATAGCAACGACGGGTCCCTCTTACTGGTACAGTGATGCAATTTGAATCTATTATCTCTCGACTCTCTTGTAGATCCGATTAGTCCGAGGAAGTACGTCCTTTTTTGTCGGAACGCTCGTTAAAAATTTTAAACTATTTAAATCGCCACCGATCCGTCAATGTCCGCTATTTATCTAACTTTCTCACGATTCTCTACAACGTGATATTGAAACTAATTTTATTAATCCAATATTAATTGTCATCTATATGAAATGTGTATCAATTTTCCTATTCGATTTTACTAATAAATTATTTCTTTTTTTTTACCTATAAAGACTTGTAGCTTTACGATCAATAAAAATTAACTTATAAAGTCTCGAACAAAAGTAATTGATTTAGAAAATCGCTTAAGGAACTTTAATATCACTCTTTGTATAGAAAATTGTAAAAACAAAGATATTTCATGAAATATATTTTTAACGATACTAATCGTTCACAAATAGGAGTTATGTATAACGATGAAACGATAACCTCGTAAATAAATAGAAACAAATCATTTCTTTCTTTCGTTTAATATGGTAATGTGAATTTCCTTATAAATTAACCTTCTATCTTTCTCTTGTTTTTCGGGATCTATCCATAAAAACGTTAATGACGTTCGTTACGAATGACGTTGATAGAAAGAAAAACAAAAAAGATGAAAAAAATCAAAGAAAAATGTGTTACATAAGATCATAAGAGGATAGATCGTAGCAACTATTATATTCCTTGATGATAACGTTCGCCTATTACGCGGGGGAGTTATTTCGCACGGCATTTAATTAATCTCCGACAAGAGCTGCATCGATGGTGCTCTCGCGTGTGTCGCCTATCGAAGATGTTATGAAAGAAAAAGAAAGACTGATATAATTATGGTGGAAGCAATGATGAATAGAAAAAAATGAAAAATGAAAATAAGGAAGAAGAAAAATGACCAGTAGTACGCGGCAATGATTATTGCATATGGACGAATAAGTCTATGTGTATAGTCGAATACGCGTTTATAAACGTAAGTACGTGGGGAATTAATGAACAAAAGCTAACGCGCGAAGTATATCGTTGATAGGTCATCACGCAGAGAAGTCGTTCCTGATCATGTATTCGTAGATGAACAAATATATATTTATAATCATCCGATCAGTGCTATAATGCACCAAAAAAAGAAAGAAAAGATCCATTATACGTTTTCTTTTTTTTTTGCTTCTTCGACAATCTATTGATTGTTAAACTGATTAAAATAACGATTACAGAATAAGTCTAAGTTAACGATGAAAACACTGGCCGCGAACGTGCCAAAAATTTGTCCCCGAATGAATTGCATTCGTTCAGGTTGAATTTCATCGAGCATTCGGCGAGTCAAACGCAACAAGTAGACTCGCAATTTTTTAGGAACGCTCGAAGATCACTGGAAATAGTAAATAGTTATTGTTGAAGATGGATTAAAATGGCCTAAAAAAAATTTTAATAGCTCGATAATCGAAACTAATGAGAATAGAAATCGTAATGATAAAACAACAGTGATAGGACGATAGATGTTAAAGTACGATTGTTTGTTCTGCATCGATTTCCATGAGTACGTACGTCGAGTAAGAACGATCATTCGATTTTTAACGTGCCGATAAATAAATATACATACACAACATAGAGTCTTTCTTGAAATTCGTTCTCTTCTTTTGTCAACGGGTCGCGTAGAAATTGCGAAAAAAAGAGAAGAAAAATAATTCGTTTTTACAAATATGCAAAAGAATGAAACAAAAAAAAAGAAATAAATAAATTCACAATAATTGCATTTTATATTTTCACAAGGACACAGTAGTCGTCACAATATCAGATACGGGCCAATAGTAAAACCAACGTCGTGGTGGTAACTATCGTAAACGAGAATCACGTTTCTACGCGATGACGATCGCGAGACTGTGCAGCGCGCCTTCGTTCGAGCTCGATGTTCGATCCGCGAGTTCGAAAAGCGCGCGGAAAGTGGTGGGAGGTGCTGCTGCTGATACTCAACGCAATCCAACGGAATCTCTCCCTTTTGACAGTAGCTTTTAATTCTTTTTAATAATATCTACGATAGAATATTTGTTCACCTTCAAAAATACGTACATTTTATTTTAGTATATTTTAATCATTTACCTATAGTTTATGTACAGGAGAATAATTGCGTTTTTTTTCTCGTATCTTAAATGCTTTCTAAATCAATTAATATAATATAAATGTATGTTCCACTTGCGTAACAGAATTTAAAACTCAACAAACATATCTGTAATTTGTTATGAAAAGTGATTATTTGTGTATAATTCTCTTCTCTTTCTTGAATATCAAATTAAAGTGATTACAACAAATATTGGTATAGTTACGGTAGAAGCGTGAGAATGCAAGTTGATACGGGATCATATCCATTTCGCAGATTCAAGTAATAGTTATTTGGAGGTTTATTCGTATGCATCTTGTAGTGTTTACAGAGTCAATTTGTGATACTCTTGACTTAAATCGAGACGTAGGGCCGCTGGTGCAACGAAACTTAACCAGCTAACTAATTTGTTTTTGCTAAAATGGAATATCAAATAACCAATTAATTTGAGAATTAAGTTGTACAAACCGTATTAACAACTGCGAAATAATTTGTAAGGAAAACGAAACAAGGTCGTATGTCAATCCCTTTTCATTTGGCTCTTCCTCCCTCACCTCTTATGTGTATACTGTAGGAGCTCATGCGACATGCATGGATGTAACTGCAGGTACGGTGTACCGAGAATTGGATGAATCACTTGCGACAACTCCGAGTAATTTAAAGCGGAACCATTAATAAGTCCTTGAGCTTCTTCGACACTTATTCGATTGATCCCAGGAAAATCTGTAGACAATGAAAAGTTTCGAAATAATACTGGTATTCTACTGTCGACATATTTATTCATCCATTAAACAAATATTCTAAAGCATTATTTCTCAAGGTCACTCATTATTTATTCTTTAGGGTGGAACTAGATCAATCCTATAGACAATGAAACGGTGATCTAGTTCTCAAATGGCGCCATATTCCGTACGAATTTCACATATCAGAATTGAATTTTAATATTCGTTGAATTATAAATTTAAGAAGTTCGTTTTTTAACAATGATATCGGGAACTAACCCCTTTTTGTTTCCTATTTTTCGCCTTTCAGAACTGTCATATACTCAACGTTATCTACTTCTTCGCCTATAGTCGAAAGAAGCAGCCGACAATAGAAGGAACAATGCGGCATTACAATCGTCTTTTTCACGGATTAAGGTCTAGTGACGATAAAACTTTACTCTACAATAGAATTTCCTCCGTATTTAATTTTTTTTTAATGCCACTAAGACTCGACAATTCTTACGTTCTACTAGAATCATGAACATTCAAGGACTTTATCGATATATTTCATATGATTGAGAAACTAATCGATGCGAAGTAAACAAACAATTGTTAAATTTTCATAATTATATAAATAGATCGAATCATTTTATTATTCTAATTTTAATTATGGAAAGTACGTACCTATATCTATTCGCCAAATTATATAGAAAAAGAAGAGCTTAATGATCCTAGATTAATTGCAATTTAGATCACCTGATTTCCATCCATTAAAATAAAGTACTGGCACACTATAGCTCATAGACCATAAAATGTGATGTTCTAGAACCAAAGGCCTTTCATTTGTAAGTGAAGCTTCGTATGGATCTTCGCAAAGTTTGTAGCTCCAATCTTCGACGCAAGTAGAATTTTCTATGTCCAATTCATCTCGAATAAAATGTTTTTTTTGTCGTATCAAGTATGCTTGTGTAGGAACTTTCTACAAAAAGTAAATATACGTTACAAAAATCTATGTTAAAAATTATTTTCTGCAAAATAAATTAGTATCAAAAAAAGTATATCTAATATTATTTCTTCTAATATTCAAAAATTTAAACTTAGTCGATATGTTTCACACAGTTCACTGATTACGTGATAGATCGCACAACGTTTTTGTTACAACTAAAACCATAGTCGATAAAACAGAACTTCATCAATAATTTTAATAAAAATTGTTTATTTTAAACTTCCTATTTATCACGTGGTATATAGAAATATACTAAATATATGCAAGTTAATTATAATAATCATTTATAATTTTTAAATGATCATTTTCACGTTTTATCATGATCGTATTCTGTTTTACCGAGTGGTATAATCTTTCGAAAAAGTAAAAAAAAAAATTTACAAAAATATGGTTCGAAGATAATATATTTTTAATTGTTAGTGAAAAAAGAATGTTAAAAAACTATTCTAATAAATGTGTTTTTAACAACAAAAATAAATATATATTTTCATATATATATGCATATATCAACATATGAATTTGATAATTGATTAATTAATTAATATAATTACTTTATCACCGCATAATTGCCATCCATCTGAAATCTGATTAGATAGTATAATGAAACTTTCAGCATTTTCTATAAATTCATCCCATGAAATCGTACCTGGACCATCCATTTCTGTAAATAAAATTTATTATTGTAAATTGTATTATATTGTAAAATGCATATCAGTCAAATTCATAATTTGAAATAAAAGATATTGTTCCCGTAATAATGTTCATACAAAGAATTTGTCTACTAAAAGTATATAAAACATAAGTAATAAAATATTCTATATAAACGAGATTAAATATTTTCTTTCTATTTAAATAAGAATATGATGATAGAATTATTAAATAAAAAAAAAAATATTTTATAATCAATGTTATACTGAATGACGATAAGAGATCTTATCTACATATTATGTAATGGCATAATGTAAAAAGGTTCGAAAAAATATTAAACATTTATTTGATTAAGTTTTATTCGTATAATATTAGATTTAATTCCGCTTAAAAGACTAATGCTATAGATATGCTAAAGAATAATTATTCAGGTTAAAGTTGCAAAGAGGGAAGCGGTACACCCAAGAGAATAGCCTGTCTCCTCCCTTCTGGGTTTCTCGACGCCTCGTCAATTGTCGACTATTTCGTATCGGGCACATCCGGTAGCGTTCGGCTATAATCGGATTCTCCCGCTCTTTAGCGAACACGCGCCGATAGATTTCAAGGGTGTGTGCACGCTACAGGACATTGCTCGTATATGCACTACTCCACGTCCAATAAGATGCAGAGATGCAATCAGGGCCGTAGACAGATATTTATACTTATTCTTAATATTACGAAACATTATACTTTTACGTTTCATTTTATGGTACGTTCTAAATTTTATCTATTTAAAGGTAATTATAATTACAAATATTTTATTTTATTTTAAACAATCTGTTTATAAAAAAAACGAACAACTGAATCAATATTAATTATCAAAAGATATTATTGGTCAATAATCACATATGATCATATTAATTCGTAATAAATAAATTTATTACAAAAATATTTTGTTTTAAATAAAATTATAGATATTTATAAATTTATAATAGAAACTGAAATGAACAGTAAATAAAATATAAGAGGTATAGACATACAGAGACGTTGTAAATTCATTTTATGCTAATTATACATGTTGAATTTAAAAGAAAATCTTTATGGAAGCTAAAAGGATTTTTATCTATTCTGTACTGTTTATATAGCGTGTAAGATTTATAATACTTTACCAGAGAGATCACGAACATGAGAAATTATAGAATAATAACATACTTTATTAATATAAAATAAAATATATTTATTCGAATGAATGAATGAAATGAAAAAAAACGTATACAAGAACGCTGTTTGCGAACCTGTACTAGGTCTTGATTATACTTGATGCATACTTTGTTGAATTTAAAAATATTCGTACGGTCCTGGGATACGGGACAATAGATGCGCGCGCAGCCACCACGTTCTTTGCAAGACCAAGAGAGAGTTCCGTAGAGACGTATTGTAATGAGAAGAAGAGAGAAGGTAAGAGAGAGAGAAAGAGAAAGAGAGAAATGGGGATTAAAAGGTGGGGAGAAAAGAGCGAGAGAGGGAGTAGGATCCATGAAGGTTGTATAGGTGTGCGTCGGCCTCGTCATCCTCGCGTGCGAAACCGAAAGAGTAGGTAGCACACTTGTGAAGTTGTGCTCGTGTTACACGTCGTTAGAGTTCAATTTCTCTCTCTGTGCATACGTGTTATCCTGATATTACCTTTCGTCCTTATTTGTGTGATAACGCGTGTATACAACGATAGGGCCCGCGATATTAGACTTTTTCAATAACGCATGTAGTCAATTTCGAGTGAGTGCAAGGTAAAAAAAAGGATTCATCGAGAAAAATTCGTAAACTAGCGTGTATATTGGCGGCAACAGCGCGACAGTAACGATAATAACGACGAAGAGACGATCGTGGCGACATCAAACGGACACGACGATAATACAACGTGAATCGGTGTAGCACGCGCGCGCGTTTTGCCTCTCCTCTTTGTTAGTATATGTGTACTACCTGTGCTTGTTTGTTGCGCGTGCTCTTCTAGAAACGCGTGCACGTGTATGTGCGTTAGAGTTGACTGATAGGTACGCGTGAGGTGAGGTGAAGTGTGGTAAAGTGAGGTGAAGTGAGGTGAGGTGTGCTGAGGCGAGAGGCATATCGAAGGGAAAAGAGCAAAGAGAGTAAAGTGACCAAACCTGCAACGACGACGACGACGACGACACACACTTCACCATCGTTGCGTTGTGTGCCAAGGAGAGTGAGAGAGAGAGAGAGAGAGAGAGAGAGAGAGAGAGAGAAAGAGAGACACGCCACGATTTCCATTGGAGAAGGAAAAGCCTTGAAAAGAAAGCGCGTGAGTGAGGGAAGATAGAAAAGCATCATAAAGCAATTTAAAGGTGAAACCCAAGAACTTGATGTTTTGAGTTCGACGAGTAACGGAACCAACAGCTAAATAAAAACTATACAATAACAGACTAAATTTGATGATAGAAGTGC